AGCCTTAGGCAGGATGAGTGCATGCTTTGCCATGTCACAGCCTAGTGCCGTGCACAGTAGAGGTTCAAGTAAAGCAGTCTCTGCAGGTTCAGAAGTGCACAGCTGGTCACACACTTTAGCGCCCTGAAGCTGCTTTCGTTTTAGTAGAGTCTAATTTTGTAACAACAGCTATCTTAGATTTTAGTTAAATCAGTTAAATATATAAAAAAAAAAAATCTACTAGGTAAAGCTTGGATTTTCAGAAGAGCCTAAGAGGACAAAATATTCCAGTCCTACCGAATGTGAATTTCAAAATCCCAAACTAAGTTTTTGTGATAATTCTCTTATATTTCTCAATCCTCCTTTGAAGTATTTCCTTTGCTTCTTAAATATGTTGACATGGTTTTTATAGTGTGTCTATTTTAATAAAATGCAGACTGATAAATATGGAAAGAAAGTTTGTTCTTTGTTTCCAGCTGTGTGTGGGGACCCTGATGTTGCTGTTAATGGAAGTTGTCTGCTTAAGTCCCTTCACACTGCCCTAAAAATTCATGCTAATTGCCCAGTCAAAACAAACTATTGGTGCTATTGCATTTCAAGTTTTGGAAGTATTCTCCTTCATGTCTGGGGGAAGAACGAAGTACTGAATCTCAACTGTTTTGTTGCTCACACTTCCATTTTGTGGTTACAACTTTTCACCAGCAACTCAGTTATCATTTTGGCATTAGCTGCATGCAGCGTAAAGAACCCAGACTTCTCTTCCACTTGCTTTCTGTATTCCTAAAAGCCTCCTTGAAATGGATGGGCAAAGAGAGAAACACAGCCAGATTACAGTTATGGACTGTTTTCAAGGCACAGGTCAGTGTGAGTGGTACCTGCTGAAAGGCTGTTCTCCCCGAGCTGCAGGCAGTGCCCTCCTGCTTCTCGCGCTGTTGTCTCCCTCCTTCCTTCCGTGGGCCTCTCAATAGCTGTGACTCTGCATCAGTCTCTTAACTCCCTACCTTGTTTGCATAGAAGCACTGTCGTGTTTTGTTAGAAGATCGCCCATTTTCTTCTTTTCTTCTGTAGATAAAGATTATTACAATTTCTAGCAACAGCAATTAAAGCTGCTGCTACTTAGAATTCATTGCTTTGGCACTGACTTACAGTCATGTTGGTCACGGCAGGTTCCTAGCTGTGTCTTGGTGAAAATTTTGTTCTTTGACACATTTTCAGTCTGTTTGGTCCACAGACGGGAGAAGATGTGTTTTTGACTTCTTTAGACATTGGTTTAAGGCCCAAGTGGTATCTCACATCTAAATACAGAATTCAGATGTGTTCATTTCCCAGCAGTACCCCGTTGTAGGTGGATATAGTATATGACAAGAGTACTGAAGATAGCTACATGACTGCTCTTCCTGTTCAACCCACACTTTGTGGGTTAATCGGGTATTGTAACGACTTATTTTTGCATCTGTTAATGTGAGCCAGAAATTCATACAACGTTCTACATTTCCATTTTTATCTTGACATATTTACAGCACTAAAAAATATTGCTCCTTTTGTTATTACTCTGTGAGTCAGCCTCATTGATATTATCAAAACGTGAACAGCTCTGAAAATAATGCCCCGACTAATGGTTTTCAATAGGGTAAAGTACTTTGCAAATTATTGTTAAAAAAATAGCATTTTTAATTACCTATTACTAGCTGAACTTGGTACTGTAACATCCTGATTTGAAGTGTGTTTGCACTTCTGCATGGAGTGTTCAGTCATGTCTTTCAGTCCTTACACAGTTAAGTGAGCGTATTTACAAGCAGAGCTGGCTTTCCATGAATTAAACATGCAACTATTCTAGTATGAATTAACCTGAATTCCAGGATATATTTGCAACCTAATTTCAACAATATCCAGGTGCGTTTCAGCATGTTTTTCTAACAGGTCACTAGGATCCATTTAAATAATTAATATTCTATGTCTTCTTTGCAACTTTTAAGAGACACTTGTAGTAGGATATGCATATTTCATTCCTCAAGACTTCTGTTCCCCCTTGATTTTAAAAATATGTCTATGTCCTTGAGTAAACACTTATGAATTTTCTGTTAGTACAACATCTTTGCTAAAAGCTTGATTGCTTTGTTTCTGTTTGAGTGGTTAAATCACTATCCTACATGTAGGAACCCTGATTACTAATTATGAATTTTTATAACAGTTTGTCTGCCCAACATCACTGTTTGTGATTTGAGAACTCCACTTGAATAGCCAGATTGCAAAATAAAGCTTTTGCAAATAATTGACCTTTCCAGACTTTCAATTGCTTTTGAAGGGAAGTAGGAAATCTCTTGTCCCACAAGACACTTTATAGAGAGCCTTGATCTGACATTTTTTCCAACAGTTGCATCACAGTCTTGCCGTGGAAAGAGCACGTATGTAGGCACCTGTATGAACTTCATACTGCATTCATCACTGCTCTGCAGGTGGGCAAAGGATGAAATGTAGGTGTTGCTGAAGTGACAGGAGGACGTGCGTAATGTGTGACAGGATACATTTGTCCTTTTTTCCCAGAGTTATTTGTAGTTCAAAACAGTAGATTTGCTTATTTATTTATTTAATTTGTAACAACTTCTTTCTTTCTTAGTTCCTAAGAGCATAATCCAAATTCTAAGGCATGGGTTTAATAAATTTTAGGTCATATGTTAACCAGTGTTTGCCAAGAAGTAAATGAGGGTTTGTGGGTAGTTACTGCTGCTCAGCTGGTGAGCAGTAACACATTTAGTTGAAGCAGCCTCTCCTCCGTAGTATCGGGATAATTACTGTTTTGATGGAAGCATTTTGTATACTGAATCCTTGAATGTTTCTGGAAGTTTTTATGTCCTGGTAAGATGCTGTCTAGATGGGCAAAATGTTCTTTACATTCAGAGCTGCTGGCTTTCCAGAGACCGGATTATATACACCTGCTGTGTGTTTCCAATTGTGGATTATTTCATTCTAAGGATTTGTGCCATGGAAGTTGTTCTGTGAATATGATCTCACTCTCTTCCATCAGTGGAACAAATGGCCTTTGAAGCATTGGTTCACTTAGCGTTGGAGGTTTAAATACTTGGTTTAAACACTCTGTTTGTGCCAAAGTATGTCAGTATGGAAAATATACAAGGCATCCTGCATGTGGTCCCATTATGGATTAAGGAAAATGGAAAACAATTCAGGAGGAAAGTAACTAGAATTGGAGGAATGCTTTCAGTGCTTCCCTGCACATTCTGCCTGAAAACTCCTATGTAACCTGTTTGTTTTCTCACCCTCATACACCAAGTTAGCCTTGCCTTTGAATCAATCCCAGTCAGCACAAAGAAGGTTGGGTATTTTTATTATTTAACATTATGCTGGGTTTTTTCCTCCCCTCGGTTCTCCCTCTACACAGTGTACAACAGCCTCTGCTAGATCCACACGTAGCTACACGCCCAGAGCTCCAGGCTAGTGCAGTGACTGAAGTTTGCTTTTTCCCTACGCAGAGAGCAGCTGTAAATCATATTGTGGGTATGTGATGTTGGCCTAGAACCTATGTAATTTAGGAATCGGCTTGGGTTTGTTTTCTTGCTGCCACACCTCGAGAGTGCCATATGTTTTTGTCTTCGGCACTGTTGCTTTCTGAAGGAATCGCTTGGCTGAAAACCTGGTGTGATTTTGACTACGTGTCTAGGTTTGTAGAAGTATGTTGCAAGTGAAGACTACACCTGCATTTAAAGAGCCTGTTTCCTTAGGGCTTTAGGTTTTTTGTCTTTAAGATATGCTACGGTTTGTAGAAATTCCATTATCATCTCTTTTCTATACTACCAAAATAATAGTTTTGGACATATTCACGTATGATGTGAGAATTCCATCAGTGTTAGTTTAGATACTGCATTTTCCATGCATGGGGCTCTGACAGCTCATTTTTCTTCGATGAGACAACCTCAGACTGAGGCTATTGATTCTCCCTGGCTGTGTACGTAAGATAGCCAGACATCTTTTTTTTTTTTTTTTACCAAGGAAAAAAAGCCCGTTTCTCTCCTCTGGAGTTTAGTCATAAACAAACTTACACACAGATTTTGGATGGGCATTTCAGTGCAGGACTCCAGTAAAAAGAATTTTATTCCCAAGATTCTCAGCACTAATTTTAGTTAGCTTAGAAAGATGGTTGCTTAAAATAACTGTCACCTTACACCCCTTTCATTCAAAGGATCACAACCCATTAAGAAATAGAAATGAATAATATCTTTCCTATACTGACTGTGTTTCAAGTACTGCATTGATAAATTGCTATACATCCGTATTTTTCATGGCTTGACAACAGGATGGCTAGAGCTTTCCTTTTTTAAACACTGCTGACCCAAGCTACGTTAAGAATCCATCCCTCTCAAGGAGGCTGTCGAATGGTTGCTGTGGGTAATGGGCACCACAGTGCCGCAGCTAGGCTGCAGCTGGATTTGAAAGGTATTTTGGGAACTGTAGCAAGACTTGATTTAGACCTCACAAGGGTCACAAGGCAGTAGGGCAGATGCTTTTCACTACATATACTGACCTGAGAAAGCTTCAGAAGAAGTGGCTCAAGCTGGCAGTGCTGCTTCATTTATGCATATATGTACATACAGAGTGCTAGCCTTACCGCTTCAGTAGGAAACCCAAATTCGTGTTGCCAGTGGCTCCCACCTGGCACTGGGCTGGGTGGTGTGTAACACAGGAGAGTGGAAAGCGTGAGCGTACTGTGGCAAGGAACAGTATGCTCTGCACATGTAAGGAGTGGTACGTGTAGGTCTGCGCTAAGGGCCAGCGGTGCTAAGCTTTTCCATGGCATTACCCAAAACAATCATACTGAAGATCATGCATACATGGGTGCGGTGAGTGAGGTGAGTTTAGACTTGGATGTGAGCTGTAGCTTGGGTTGAAATCCACTATAAATACAGACATGGCAGTGATGTAAGTATGTCTAAAAAATAGTTGTAGCAGTAAGTACCTTCGTTTATAAATGTATATACATGCATATATATATATTTTAATTACAACCCTAGTCCTAGTATAAAACCTGCATGGAACGTCCCTGATCTGTAGAACAGAGAAGGATCTCACAGAGTCAGATGACAGGAAAGAGCTTGGACTTGGAACCCAACATCTTTATGTAGTTATTTCAGTATTTCTGTATGTTGATGTTATGTCTTGTTTTGTTTCAGTAATTTGCTGGCTAACTCCTTTAATTGTAACTGCCATTTGGCCTGGCTGGGAAAATGGTTGAGGAAGAAGAGAATTGTCAGTGGAAATCCACGCTGCTTGAAACCCTTTTTCTTAAAGGATATTCCAATCCAAGATGTAGATGTCCAGGACTTCACCTGCGATGGTAAGAAAATCCAATTCGATCTGGCATTTGTTATAATGTTGGCACCTCTGTGAGTGCCTCCCTTCCTGTCAAGCAGTACTGCACGGGAAACATTTGAGTTTAGTGATGAGGAAGAGAGCCATCTAGAGCTGAAGATGATTGTTCCCTATGAGTTTACTTTTATTCTTGATTTCCAATTTCTGAGTTTCTACCATCTACACCTAAATATAAGAAATAATTTACTATAGACAAAGGCTGTGATTTGTATAATCCTAATATAATCCTGGCCCATAAACAACTTCCTTATTCATACACTTAGTTAGTACTCTGAAGCCAGTCAGAATGGTGCTTGCTTGGAAAGTCTTTTAGTTTTGGATACTGTTCAGTTTCACCAATAACAATTATGAATACAGGGACTTAAAAAAGCTTAAATGTTATTTGAAACAACTCACTGATGCTTACTACTTTGCCAGGTGCATATAGTTTTAAAATAGGTGTGTATCCTGACATTCTTTCATTCTCCAGGTAGTTCTTTGTCTTCTGATCAAGAAGATTTTAGAGAAAATAAGGAGAAATATTGACTGATGAGTGCCCTGCTAACTTGACTTGTAGGCTGTTAAGGGCAGATATGCTGGTGCATTTTATTACCTTTTATGAGGACTTCCAGTATTATTTTTTACCCTCAGTGCTCTTGGGTACATCCAGTAGAGGAAAGAAAGAAACAGATCTATCTCAACTAGTCCTTCCCTCAATTTAAAAGAGGAAAAATGTGACATAATGGCAGCTGGCTGTGTGCTCTTAGGTTGCAGCACCGTGTCTCTGTGCTGGTCGACTCAGGCTGCCTGTACTCACCAGCAGTTCTGTGGTTCCTCTCACTGTTGTCTAGAGAATGTGCCACCAAGTGTTCCCTTCCCCTGTGATACTGCAGCATGCATTTGTCTTATGTTTTGCAAAGCCTGTTCCTTTTGGGGAAAATCCATGCTTTAATGTTCTTAACTTCAAAGAGTCAGTTTCTTCTGCAGAAACACTATTGTTCTTCAATTACAAGATTTAATCTGATGTTTATGGACCTCTGAATCCATTTTTGGAGAAAGTAGATATTTTTATGTGTGTACAGATGGATCGCCAGCAGTTGGAAGTATGCTGCTCAGTTTGTTGTTTGCCTGGTTATCCTTGTCAAAAACAATGCGGTTTTACAATTCAGATGATAAATGAAGTGCCAGGCTGACTTTAAAAAGAAAAAAATTGACATCTAAAAGCTGAATTAAAAAAAAAAAATCTTCCTAAAGCAGAGTAAATAGTGAATATGATCTGTCTAGATGAATTTAAGAGCAATGAATGTTCTGGGCAAGTTCTCCATTTCAACTAGTAGATTGGAGGTGTGGGAGGATTTCAGATTCACATAACTGTACTGTAATTGGCAAAATTACAGAGAAGTAGATAATCCTTAAAAAAATATTTATTTAAAAACATTGCTATTCAGGTTTTGAACTGATGCTCCTGTTGCCTAAAGAACCTGTGTGAAGGCAGGTTGAGCCGAAGCATTGAATCTACTTTAAAGGATTGTGATGGTTACCGTGGATTCAGGGTCCGTGTAAGCAGCTGTCATCAAAGTACGTCGCTCTGGGCCGTGAAGCTGACTTCCTAATACTCCCTTTCTCTCCCTCTGCAGGTAATGACGAAAGCAGCTGCTTGCTTTCACCTCCTTGCCCTTCCCAGTGTACCTGCGTGGACTCCGTAGTACGTTGCAGCAACAAAGGGCTGCGGATATTGCCCAAAGGAATTCCCAAAGACGTGACTGAGCTGTAAGTTACCTTTCATGTACCTCCTTTCTTGAGAAGTTCATGAAATTACATCACAGTGAGGCTTTGTAGGCCCTTGGGGGTTTTGCCTTCGACTTCAGTGACTGGCGTTTTTGTGCTTTGGCGCTTTCCATATGCTCGTTGTTTTGATACATACTTGTCCCTCGACTGAATACATCGCTCTGTAAGGGGAACAGAGTTTATCTGTCCTTGTACCCATTAATACTGTGTGTAGTGAACATATGCATATATTAGCATCAAATAAACCTGTAGCGCTTCTGAGGAGCCTAAGCTCACAACAGGCAGTTTGAGAGGATGATGAAAATAGCCTGACTTGGGCAGCTGGGAGCTAATTATCCTCTGAGGAAATTTTTTTTAAAAAAAAAAGGAAATCAAGCCAGTGGTGGAGACAAACAATGAATTCTTTTCTCCAAACATCTTGAAATGGCTAAAATAACAGATAATTAGATTAAATTGTAAAGTAAATTCATCCTAGTTGAGAACCGTCTTTCTAGTCGTCTTTTCATCTGCCCCTCACTCTGACTTTATACTGGGGTTTGGTTCTTCCCATGGAAAGAAAATACACTGGTGGAACTGCTTGGCTTAAACAATTGGCAATAGAAAGACTGAGCTTTCCCCTTTAGGTGTTTATTCTAATCTATCCCAGGTGAGTTGTTGCTGAAACTTGTTACAGTCTCATCAACATTTCTACGTGAAAGTAATTGGTTGAGTTAGTTGGTATGTTCAGTGAAGTTTGCAATAAATTAAACTGTCATTCTGCTATTTTTTAGTATCTAGTATTATTTTTCCTATTTAGTAACAAGGCAGCTGATGAGTAAGATACACATCTTTTTACTCCCTTCACAGTGGGAGAGTGGGGTTTGCGCTGGTTTCACCAGCGTTGTAGTCAAATACAGGATTATGTTGCTGAATGAGGAGTGTACTGAAAGTGTCTTTGGTAACTAATTAACATGGAAATTTTGCAGTAATGAATACAACCTTGGAGCACTGTTAGCCAGGGCATGGATAATTGTGGTTTGAATTAAAAGCCAAGTCCTGGCCTGTATTCCCTTATATATTGCCATCAGATAAAAAGTCTGCAAGGTGGTTTCTGCTGTGTTCTTGTTCAGGTTTCATTGCGTTCAAATGTAACTTGCCAACAGTAAGATATCACAGATGTATCTTTGATTTCCACTGCCACACTGAGGAATTTTTATGTTTAAATTTTGCATGTTGAGTTTTACTGATACTATCTGATACACTGCCGACATAACTTTCACAAAAAGAGTTAAATTAATCTCACATTCTTGAAAACTGCTATATTTCTTAAGCTATTTCTTGGCAAATGAGGCAATAGCCTGGAACTGAGCAGTTTCAGTTCATAGGAGTTTACGTGACTGTCTTCTTCAGTAGGAGCCTCTCGGCTGTGCAAGCCTCTAGTTTGGCTTTCTGCTTTCAGTCCAGAAATGTGTCAGCAGAACACAGTCCGCCATGGACTGGCTGGCTCTGAATATTTCATGTTCTGCAAATATAACCCTGAATCTGTCCCAGCTGTCTCAAAATTCAATCCTGATTTCACTCTCCTCTCAACCAACATAAGCTGAGCTCCTTATTTGTATCTATACCAAAAGATGAGCTGCAGGTACTGAAGCTAGGAAGTCCATGTGTTTGTGGAAACTGCGACAAGCAATAAATAAATAAACAAACAATCTTACTTGCCTTCCTTCTGCTTCCAGATTGAGCTAAAGATGTTGCCCATAATCTAGAAGGGACTGTATCAACTGGGTCCCCAGTTGCTGGTGTGAACTTAAGCATTTTTATTGGTCCGTGTTTGAGAATTGTCACTGCTGCTGCGGTAAACGACATCTGCTGTGGAATCCCACCTTGCCTCATTTTGAGGACAGCTAAAATTTGGCAGGGAGAACCCAATGGCTTTCTGGGCACAGAGTGAAAGAGAGTTGCCTTGTTCAATCTGTTTAAATTGTTCTTATTTCAATCCACGAGCTTCCTTGTCTTTTCCTCCAATTCTTCTCCTCCACTAGAGGAGGAGGGGAGCTGAGCGAGTGCTGGGTGGTACTTAATTGCTGGCCGAGGTTAACCCACGACAACTTCTCACACCAAAATACTCCCATTTCCCTAGAGCAGTCCTAGATCCCTTGAACTGTGTCCGAAGGCTGAGGTATCTTAGAATCATAGAATCACAG